ACTCTCAACATGCTTATAGAAAGGCTCATTCTACAGCAACAGCACTAATTAGTATGTCTGATGACTGGCTTAGGAGTTTTGAAATAAAAGATATGGTGGGAGTTGTGTTTCTAGATTTTTCAGCTGCTTTTGATTTAATTGACCACCATCTACTATTAGAAAAACTTTCCTGCTATGGTTTTGAACAATCTGCACTTACTTGGTTTTACAGTTATTTAACTAACCGGTCGCAAACGGTATATTTTAATGGTGCATTTTCTGAAAAACAAACTGTAACATGTGGTGTACCTCAAGGGAGCTGCCTGGGTCCTTTATTATTTTCAATATTTACTAATGACTTACCATACATACTCAAAAAAACTAAAATAATTATGTATGCAGATGATTCCACTATATATACATCAGCAAGAACAAATAATGAATTAGAAATTATTATGAATAACGAACTAGTGGGAGTGGATAAATGGGTGAAAGCAAATAAGCTGGTATTGAATACAGCAAAAACTAACAGCATGATTGTGAGGTCAAATTACAACGTAAACAGTAATCATATATTGAATATTAATATCAATAACGTCTCGATAAGGAATGTGCATGAGTCCAAGCTTCTGGGAGTGACGGTGGATAACACGTTATTATGGAGAAAACATATTAATAACATGATTGCAAAGATGGGTAGAGGAATCACAGTCATAAGAAGACATACAACCTTTATGTCCCCACATATTCTTAAAATGATAATCCAATCATTGATTTTTTTCTCAAATGGATTACTGCCCAGTCGTCTGGTCAAATGCCCCTGGAGAGATGCTAAATAAACTACAACGTGTACAAAATAGAGCTGCCCAAATAATATTGAAGTGTGATTTAAGGACAAATATCATAACAATGCATAAAAAGTTAAACTGGTTGTTGGTTAAAGACAGACTTTCATACTCATTGACTGTTATGATTAGAAACATATCTGTATTAAAAACACCTTATATGTTATTTACAAACCTTACTTTTAGTTCAGAGAATCACGAATACAGGACTAGGCATGCGACTGAAGGAAACTTTAGTTTGCCTAAAGTAAAGTCAAATGCCTTAAAAAGAACTGTTATGTATAGAGGTATGAAAGCATGGAATTTACTGCCGAATTACATTAAACTGATAACTGATTTAAGGAAATTTAAAAAATCATTGAAAGAACATTTATTAAATATAGAGGTAAAACACGATTAGGACTGTCTTCTTCACTTGCTGTGCTTTGTAGTTTGTTTTGATTAGTTTGGATTGTTTCTGTTTATGTATATGGGTATGTATATGTATGTGTATATGTGTGTATGTATATATGTATATGTATAGATTATGGGAGATGTTGTTTTAATGTCCACATAATTTTATTTAATTTGTAATTTTTTTTTATTTCATGTTTTGTTGTTGGACCCCAGGAAGAATAGCTGTAGCTTGCTACAGCTAATGGGGATCCTAAATAAACTAAACTAAACTAAACTATTCCTTTAATCTGCAGTGTGCAACTAGATTTGACAAGTCATCCTCATGTGGGAAGCAAACGCTGAAGCTCAAACCAAAAAATTATGTGAAATGGTTGTGCCAGTTTTCTAGTGAGTGGCAGTTACATTCATGTGGATGTGGATTTATATTTTTATTTAATCATATTTCAACTTTGATTACCAGTGTTATGGTATGAGGTAATCAACACTGTGGAAACAAAAGAGATTTAAGTTTAGCATTCCTGTCAACTTTTTTCTGTAAATTACAATAAACATAAAGATGTTTTACAACAGTTTTGTTACAGGAAAAAAAAAAAGTGAAATCTGAGTGGTGCAAAAGCTCTGTAAATGCTAGGATCAACGGCTAATTTGAAAAGTCTAGATTTCCAAGTGTAAAACATAGAAAACATTGTGAGACTTCTTTAGTTGAGTCTTAGCTTGGAAGGCAGATCACCATGAACTTATGGTGAACTGTTTTGTCGACATGAGTTTCTGTAGCTTGTTTAATGAACAGAAGCTACAAGGTTATTTGAGGAGAGCTGGACTACATTGTTCCTTTGAGTGAGACACAAGCCACTTATGAATACACTCACCAGCCACTTTATTAGGTACACCTGTCCAACTGCTCATTAACACTTAATTTCTAAGCAGCCAATAAACTCAGTGCATTTAGGCATGTAGACATGGTCAAGACAATCTCCTGCAGTTCAAACCGAGCATCAGTATGGGGAAGAAAGGTGATTTGAGTGACTTTGAACGTGGCATGATTGTTGGTGCCAGAAGGGCTGGTCTGAGTATTTCAGAAACTGCTGATCTACTGGGATTTTCACGCACAACCATCTCTAGGGTTTACAGAGAATTGTCCGAAAAAGAAAAAACATCCAGTGAGCGGCAGTTCTGTGGGCGGAAATGCCTTGTTGATGCCAGAGGTCAGAGGAGAATGGCCAGACTGGTTCGAGCTGATAGAAGGGCAACAGTGACTGAAATAACCACCCGTTACAACCAAGGTGGGCAGAAGAGCATCTCTGAACGCACAGTACGTCGAACTTTGAGTCAGATGGGCTACAGCAGCAGAAGACCACACCGGGTGCCACTCCTTTCAGCTAAGAACAGGAAACTGAGGCTACAATTTGCACAAGCTCATCGAAATTGGACAATAGAAGATTGGAAAAACGTTGCCTGGTCTGATGAGTCTCGATTTCTGCTGCGACATTCGGATGGTAGGGTCTGAATTTGGCGTCTACAACATGAAAGCATGGATCCATCCTGCCTTGTATCAACGGTTCAGGCTGGTGGTGGTGGTGTCATGGTGTGGGGAATATTTTCTTGGCACTCTTTGGGCCCCTTGGTACCAATTGAGTTTCGTTGTAACGCCACAGCCTACCTGAGTATTGTTGCTGACCATGTCCATCCCTTTATGACCACAATGTACCCAACTTCTGATGGCTACTTTCAGCAGGATAATGCGCCATGTCAGACTGGTTTCTAGAACATGACAATGAGTTCACTGTACTCAAATGGCCTCCACAGTCACCAGATCTCAATCCAATAGAGCATCTTTGGGATGTGGTGGAACGGGAGATTCGCATCATGGATGTGCAGCCGACAAATCTGCGGCAACTGTGTGATGCCATCATGTCAATATGGACCATACTCCCTGAGGAATGCTTCCAGCACCTTGTTGAATCTATGCCTTGAAGAATTGAGGCAGTTCTGAAGGCAAAAGGGGGTCCAACCAGTTACTAGCATGGGGTACCTAATAAAGTGGCCGGTGAGTGTACATTCATGTAATAAGGGAGCATTTGTTGTTAACAGGTAACACCCTTTGTAGCAAACAAATCATTTTAGTTTAGTTCAGTTTTTCTCACCAACTCACTAAGAAAGTACTCATTGTCAGACAGGAAATTAGTCCAGTTAGTTTAAAAGCTGGAGCACCCTGGAGATAGGGGCCTGTTTGTTCTTTCGACTGCATGTAGCCTCAGGGTTGATATATCAACTATTTGCCCTACCTTGTTATATTAAAGAATTATAAACAGTTTTTAATGTCATGTGATTCTTATATTGTTTTAATGTGGTTCTGCTGTAGGAATTAAAGGGTATAATCTAAGGGAATTAAGGTGTTAAGAGAAATTACAACACAAACCCACAAAACATGCAAAGATGCAAAGGAGAAAAGCTGCATCATGGAAAATAGGAAAACTGGATATGTCCTGCAAACACAAAGCTGATGCAAATACATAAAAGATGCCAAAACAGAAACTTAAAAAACATATGCATGAAAATTGGTGCAAGTAGTAAAAGGGATTTTAGGTTAGAAAAAGCTGCAAACTCCTGACCACTAAGAAGAGATGATCATCCACATATTAAATGCTAAATAAAATGTTTGAAAAATGCAAATATGAATGGTGAAAATTTGAAAATAAAAATCCTTCCAATCAAACCTCCTGCCACATTTTTATTGAAGGCCAAGGTGTTCTCAAAGTACCAGAACATGTTGAGCATCCGGTGGGGCATGTCTGGAAAACCCTCTTATACCCCTTTCCCATTGGCTGGGGAAAGAAACGTTTAAACCCGGAAACAATCAGCTTTTAGTGGAAGTGGGATCAGCTCACTGACCCGTGTCAATCCAGGGTAAATGACTCAGTAGGTGACCCATGTTAAAATCGCCTCAGCTCTGATCAACATGCTGTGGGAAAAGCCAGAGCCCGGTTAACCCACTAATTTATGTGATACCATTGAGCGCAACATAAGGATGTCAACACACTGTGCCAGTCGCTTATGATCTAACAAGCCGAAAATAACTCTGTTTACATTCTATAAATATGGTACAGCATTGGTAAGAATAATTCAGACAGATTAAAGTGCGATAATATGGTGTCACCAGACACACAAGCTGCAGGGGTACAGAGGCCACACAGCTTGCCAGCAGGGGTTAGACCCAGCTCTTTTTGCCAATGGGAAGATAACCAAATACCAACTGTTAACGGGTCGACCCATGTTTCTTCTTGGTATTGAGCAAATGACAGCTCTTGGATGGAGTACCCAGCTGTCCAGTGGAAGATGCTCATTTCAGCCTCTTCTATGGAGGCTGGGTCTTTGTTCAGGATTTATGGCTGTGCCAGTAAAACAAGTAAACTGAACGGTTACATCTAAAACTTCAATACCCCCCATTTGTGAACAATTCCCCAAAATACTTGAAGTGTTCCACTTAAGGCAGGTAGAATCTAAAGGAAATGGTAAACATAGTCAACATCTACTGTATGATAATAATATGGCACCTTGCTATTACTATTATTAAAGGATAATACAATACTAAAAAAAAAAAAAAAACTGTAAAAGCTCCTGTTATACTAATACTAACTTTATTCCTTCTGTAACTAAAGGATCCCTGTGGTAAATGGCTCCCACTCTTTATTTGCAAGTCAAATAAGAATGGTAATGATGTCACAGAAGATGGATTGTAGTAATGATACACAATCGAGTCATCTGAGAGAGGCAGCCACAAGCTCTGATACTTTAATTCTCCCTTTATGCCCCATTTTTATGCTCCTGCCATCCTGCACTCTTCTGGAAAATGTCGCTGTCGGTCGTAAATCACCACTGGATCCCAGTTTTGATATTTGCTCTCTGCTCTGGGTTTTTACTCCAGAACCACTTTTGTGAAGCTTCAGGTCAGTAAGGAAACATTTAATTTTTTAGAAGACGCAATAGTATCTTGTGTCTAGTTATGTGTAGTATTTTTTAAGTCATTCTATATTTTTACAGGAACAGGGAAAAAACACAGGCTCAAAAACATACTTTTTCTTAGTGCTGAAGAAGTTGCAGTCAATCCTGTTTTTCCATCAGGTGAGCCTGGATTAATTGTGTAAAAAAAATAAGAAATCCTGACATAAAAATTAATAATACAAAAATAAAAATGTCTTGCTATTTATTTTTTCTTGTTTAATAATTGTCATTTTTTAAATTTTTCTTTTGCTTACTTTATTTTTTTTAGCCATTTTCTTTCATAAAGTCAATGGAACTGGGCTTTGTTTCAACATCCAGGGAAACCAGTCTAACGCAAGTAAAGTTCTCTATTAGCTAGCCAATCTTTGCCTTCCTAAATGTGGACATTGTACCATCTTGAACGTTAAATGTCATGGATCTTTTTTTCCAGATTGTTGTAGCAGCGAATATTTTTCCTGCAGCAGCAAAATAGATCAGCTCAGTAACAGCACTTACAGGGTGACTGTGAATGAAGGGACTCTTCTCAAGCACGATATCGTGGTCTTACTAAAACCAATGAGCAATTTTTCATGCAATCTGTCAGACCTCCACAATTCAACAGGTACTAAAACTATATATATATATGTATATTTATTTATTTATTTATTTATTTATTTTTTTTTTAAGTCCCTCATACACTGAGTGCCTCTTCTAATCTTGTCTACTGTTGTTTTCATTATTCTAAAGAGTTCATAAGAAACCTTCACAACTGGTTAAAGCCAGGTAAGTACATCTTCCATGAACGCATAGCCCTGAAGCATCCCCCTTCTTACCCTTTCTTTCTCTGCTTTTTTAAATCTTTTTTTTTTTCTTTGCAGGTGGCAGAAATATCAGACTGAGCCTGGATAATCCATGTTTAAGTATTAATAATGATTCACAGACTTGTCAAGGTATTCTACCATAACATTTCTAATGAAACCTCAGTTGACATTAAGTTTACATTGTGTTCCCTAGTGTGCATGTTAGGGTTACTGTGGCCCTATGGTAATTGCAGTCATCTTGAAGAATGTAGATTTGATTCCAGTTTTCTCCAATCGCAAGTCTATGTGTCCTTGACCAGTTGGGAGCGTATTCCCAAGTTGCAATCAATCTCTCCATTGATGTATGATTGTGTTTGGGGAAATGTGGCGGGTTTTAAAAGATCTGAAAGGTCAGTATGACTGTAAAGGTATTATATAAATTCAGTTCACTTCTGCTTGTGTTTTAATTTGCAGGTAAAATTGATTACATGTTTGAGTTTGGATCTAAAATGACAACTTGTGTGAAAAGGGTCTCTTGCGAACCATCGGACCAACCTGGGAATCAAAATCGTGTTTGCAAAGCTTCAGGTAAGTAACCAAATCATTGGTTGATTTTCAAAAAACAAATTAGGTTCAGCCTGGACAGTTATGTGTTCTTTATATGTTTTCCTATATTTTTACAGGAATGAGGGGTAAACGCAGGCTCAAAAACCTACTTTTCATTAGTACTAAAGAGAATACTCATAATCCCTTTCCTCCATCAGGTCAGTTTGGATTAATTGTTAAAAAAAAGAAAGTCCCAAGAAATATTTTTTTTTGTTTGTTTGTTTGATTATACTTTTTGTTCTTGTTGTTTTATGATTCTTCAGTTTTTATTTGCTTTTGTTTACTTTTTTAGCTGTTGTCTTTAAACAACTATATGAAACTCGGCTTTGTTTCAACATCAAGGCAAACCAGGCTAACGCAGGTAAAGTTCTCTATTAGCTGGCCTATCGTCATCACCTTCCTAAATGAATACAGTTTTCCATCCTTATTGTTTAATGTCATGGATTCTTTTTTCTAGATTGTTGTAGCAGTGAATATTTTTCCTGCAGCACCAAAATAGATCCACTCATTAATAGCACTTACAGGCTGACTGTAAATGAAGGGACTCTACACAAGCACGATATTGTGGTCATACTAAAACCAATGAGCAATTTTTCATGCAATATGTCAGACCTCCACAATTCAACAGGTACTATTGAAGATTATTGATTTTAAAACTAAACAGTTAAACTTTTTCCTCTTTAGGTTAAAATATTAAAATCTTTTCTAATATTTTCTATTTGCTTGCTTTATTCTTCTATAGAGACTATATTAAACGTTCACAAGTGCTTAAATCCAGGTAACTATATTCTACTGCTACAAACCTTCCTGTGCAAAACCATAGCTTTTTTTTTAGTTTTTTTTTTATATTTGTTCAATTTTTTATTTTTTTTGGCAGGTGGCAGAAATATCAGAATGAGTCTGGGTTACCCTTGTTCTAAACTATGTAATGAGTCACAGACTCATCAAGGTATTCTATTATAACATTTTTTTTAATTAAACATCTCTGTAAGCATTTCCTCAATATAATGTATTTACTAGTGTGCATGTTAGGGGGAGCTGTGGCTCTATGGGAGGAATAACTGTCTTTAGTAATCCAAGCTTCCTGCTATTACACTTCTATGTATCTGTTTGAGAGTGTGACTGGGTGATAACGGCTGCAGGGTTTTAAAGCTTTGAGTGGTTAGTATGGCTACAAACATGCTGTATAAATGGAGGTGGTTTACCATTTGTGTTTTGATTGACAGATCCGATTGAATACACGTTTGAGTTTGGACTTAAAATAACATCTTGTGTAAAAACAATCCCTTGTGAAGCTTCTGACCTGGCTGGGAATCATCGGAACTTAACTTTTCAGCACTTAAGCAATGAGATGAGTCTAAATAAATCGATGTAAATGTATTTCTTTAGTGAAACAAATGCAAGGATGAAATGAACACTAACAGAGGCTGTATTATTAATGCAAAATAGTTGCATAATGTTATCAGTGACAATGAGCTACCCTAATCAATTTTGTTTTCATTACAGAAATATTATGAACAATTTTAGCTCCTACCTTGACAAAATGGGAGATTCTGAGACCGCATTCATTAAAATTGGTGAAATAACGGGGACAATTGCTAGACTACAACAAGATCAAGATAAGACTACATTGAATATTGGTTTCACATCCAATGGGGAAGTACAAGTATGCACCTTCTTTTGAATAAGGAACATAAAGAGAATAACAATGTGTTTATACTGTATGTGGATTAAGTATTCATCAATACATAACTCTCCTCATCCAAGTTTCTAAAGGAAAACAATGACGTGGAGATGGATATCGTTCTCAGCATTACAATATCTAAGAAAGATGATAGTATAACATCAGAGCGAAAGGTCAAATACATTGGAGTTCTGCTTTTTCCAGGAATGCCTAAAGTAAGAAGAGATATAATCTCATATCTGTTTTTGTAAATGTTGATATCATTAATAAATATCCACCATTTTTGTTTTGCAGCAATTTGAGTCAAATAGCTCTTTTTTGAACAATAAAGTCCTGGGGATTAAAATAGGACCAACCAATCATTCTGGAAAAATTGACATTCTCTACAATAATGTAGACACGGTAAAGAGTTGCAACAAACTTTCCTAAAAATTATTAAGAAAGAAGTTAAACTTTCATTTTTATTTTTCCATATTTTTCCTTGCTTGTAACTATCTATTCCAGAGCGAAAAAAGTGTCTTCTGTGTATCATCTGATAGCAAAGGTAAGAAATAAAAGCCTTTTAAATATAAAATATTGTAAGTTTTCTTAATATTACATCATGCTTTCTCAAGTTATGCTGGAGAATAAAAAAGTACCCAAATTAAGGTCATGTTGTGAGGTATAAAGACCTGTAATAACCATCTTGGGGGGGCAGGGGGGTGGAAGTAATAGAAGGGGGGGTGATAGAAATTACTTAAATGACTCTTTAGTCCCAACTACAAGAAAGTACCTTTGGTTTTTACATTTCAAAAAAAATTATGAAAATTAGAAATTATTCAGATTAATATTTATTGGTGTACTTTTATATCTCCTAATTTAACAGCATTGAACTGTTTAAGACCTTTACCAGTCAATTAGGTATGTCATGAAATATTTAAAGACTTATTTCACGGTTTTATTAAAAGAAACAATGGATTATTTAGTGATGTATTAGGTAGATAAACGGTAAATTAATTTTTCAATGTGTTGTTTAATGGTACATTTATTTACAGTTTCATGGTAAATGTATTTCAATTAACCCTCCATAAAAGATTGTGATACATTTGTTTGTAAATTTAAGTATATCTCATTGTTCTGATTTAGTGTCTTATAATATTGTCTTTATGGTTATTTTTGTACAAAAGGCCAAAACTGGACCATGGATCATTGTGACACCAATGCAACAGCCGGAAATGTCACCTGCCGATGCCCTCTTCATGCATTTATTGCCGTTGTCATGGTATGGTGGTTTTGATTATTTTGAATTATGAGGGCTACTGGTGAGATGTTGGGCAAGAGAGCAAAAGACTTCTTTTGTTTCAAATCAAAGATGCCGTCTAAACCAGAGATGACGTTTGAAACAAACAAAAGCAGACCTTTAGACACAGAGGAAATATTGTAAGTAGCTTACTTAATAACATAAAGCATACACTATATGTGGCAATGAAGCTATACATTTATATATCTGAATGTTAATATAATTATTTTTCTATTACAGAAACATCATGGACCTGGCGGATAACTATACCAAACAGATGGGAGGAGCTCAAACAGCAGCAATCAGAATAGGCAATGTCACTGGAGTGGTTGCTAAGCTACCAGAAAATTCTGCTGACATGAACTTTGGCTTTGGTGCTGGAGGAGATGTAATGGTATGGGGCTTTGGGTAACGAAAGAGAAAATGATAATTAAAAAAATTGTTTCACTTTTTTGTTGACTGTGCTTTTGGCAGCTTTTTGGGGAATTCCAGAAAAAAAACGGCGGTCCCGCTAGACAAATTAAACTTCCAAAAGAAGCTATTGAAATGGCAAAAAAACAAGAGGAAACACACATCAGAATTCTGATTTTTCCAGGAATTATTGGTGTAAGTTTGAATTTATGCTATGATTGGAGTTATGTCAATTTTAGTTTTTTTTTTTGTACTGCAAATATCAGAACCATGATTTTATTTTCAGAAAAATGGCTCCAATGATTCCCTTTTCAGTGATGAAGTGCTGGGAATTAAAATAGGAAGAAATATATCGAATCTGTCACAACGCATCAAAATTCAATACAAAGATGCTACATTGGTAATGAGATGGTAACAAGATTTGTAACATTGTTTCCTTGATAAAGGAAATTTTCTGATTTTTATTTTTGTTTTATCAAGATGCAAACTGAACAAAAATACACTTGTGTATCATGGACAATTAAAAATAGAGAAGGTAAGTTTGTTGGGTGCAAATGACCTTAGAATATTTTAAGGTTAAGGTTTTAAAATAAAATTGCAACATTTTGACTAATTTGACACACTGCTAGAGATTTGTCTTTATTGTAAAAGCTTGGAATGGAATCAATCCATCCATCTTCCACTAGTTTATCACTAGTTTATCTCCAGCAGTCTATGGTTACACCTTGGACATATCACCAGTCTATCGCAGAGCAGAGGCACAAAACTATGCACACAGACACAAGGAATTTAGGAATATCAATAAACCCAAGAGTCATGTTTTTGGACTGTGGTAGGAAACCAGAGTGGCTAGAGAGTGTATGACCAAGGAACAAGAGCTGTCAAAAGTATTAAACCATCTGTCCTTAAACTTTTTTCCTGCATTACTTTTACTTTTATACTTTAATCAGTTTTAAAAATGGAACTTTTACTTGATTAAAAAGTGTTTTTAAACAGCGGAAGATATACTTCTACTTGAGTAATAAACATTAATATTAAACCTTATAATGGTTACTGCACTATGCTATTAAAGGAACATTTTTGTACAATTCTGGATGATAACTTCCTTTTACCTAAGTTTCTTAGTTTTATAACTAATGGTAAAAGTGTCAAATTTAACTGTACATCATCTTGAAAAACATTTAATTTGGTATGTGGTGAACAACAACTTAATGCAGGACCGAGTCCAACCACAAAGAAATGAATTGTTTCGATGAAACAAATTATTTATTTATTTATTTTTTTAAATACCACGTCATAACAAAAATGAGCAGAAATGAAACAAAACTAACAAATTAAATAGTAGAAGTGAAAAGTTGTCTAAAACATAATTACACCTGTAAAGTATAGATAGCCAAAAGTTCTACTTAAGTAAGGTAATGAAGTATTTGTACTTTGTTATCTGACACCTCTGCCAGGAGCTACTTGCAGCTAGGCAGCAGCGCTGCTCCATCCTGCTGCCAGTTTTTATCCCTATACATCCTATACTCCTATCCTCCAAGAAGGAGGAACTCTTTAACTTCTTATTGAAATTATCCATACAGTGCTGGAGATAGGCACCGGCACCACGACCCTGACAGATCAAACAGGAAAATATGGATGGATAGATTCAATGTTTTGAAACCATAATTGCTCAGTAATTTCACATTAAAGCCTTAGTAAGAATGCGACATTTGTTGGTCAGACCGGCTTTTTATTTTTTTGGAACCCACTTGGGAAGTCAATCTTCTGTCCCTTTATGGACTGCAGGGTAAGCCTGATTCGACTACCAGCAATGCTTATGTCTCTTCCCCTGGTGGTCCTGTTGCTATCAAACTTTAGATTTAGAATCATTTAATATGGAGGAAAACAGGTTTTCCCCCATATTAATCTATGACATGGTTATCACAGCGAATACAGATTTTTAGTTCACAATTTATTTCAAACAAATCCTAAGAGGGTGATCTTTCTTTATATATTAAGTTGAGTTAAATCTTTTGCCTATCTTTTTCTGCCTTCAACCAGACACCAATCCAAATTGGACAATGGACGGCTGTAATACAACTTTGGAAGACAAAGGAGCCAAGTGTGAATGCTCTCATCTAACATTCTTTGCCATTTTGATTGTAAGAAAAACCATCAATTACACATTTAACACCACAATGAACTATGATACTGACATTTTCCATTTTGAGCTAAGTACGCTATTTTGGTTTGAAAACAGAATAAGAAAATAGAAGAAAAAAGGACAACTCTAACTTTTAGAGCACCAGATCGTCCTCTGACCTCAGAGGAAGCAGTGTAAGTATAAGTTATGTGTGAGGTTGGTTTAGAAATTGCACAAAAATCGGCACAATCTAATCGCATTGTCAGAAAATGTTATTGTTAATGGAAAATTACAGAAATTTAATGAAGAATCTGAGTTCTATAGTGGACATGATGGGGAACGCCCAAGTAGCAACCATTGAAATGGGGAAAATTTCTGGAGTTATTCAAAGACTACCACAACAAAATAAGACAACCATCAACATTGGCTTTGATGCAAGTGGGAAAGTAGAGGTACCCAGCTTTTATAACAGAACAATAAAAACATGTTGAGATACCATCTGATTTTTTCTTTTATATTCTCTGTTTGTGATCGATTCTTAAGGAAAAGGATGATGTGGTTACTGGCTCCATGCAAACAATACGTCTTTCTAAAGAAGCCAGTGAAATGGCTGTGAAAAAAAATGGATCATATGCGGGAGTTTTGCGCTTCCCAGATATTGAGAAGGTAAAATCAGAATGTAATATTATTTTTTTGTAAGATACAGGAAGAATTAACAGTGATTTCTTTGATCTCAACAGCTTAACAAAACCAGTTTATTTTTAAACAACGTAATTCTTGGGATAGATATGGGAGTAAATATATCCAACCTCTCAGAAACCATCGACATTCACTTCCGTGATGTGAATACGGTGAGAGAGGTTAACTATTTTCATAATAACTTTTAGTTGGTGTCGGTAATTCTGATTTTTTTTGTCCACCTCCATACAGGCTGAAGCTAATGCTACTTGTGTATCTTGGGATGGCACAAGTAAAGAAGGTATTTTTTTTGTTTATACTTCACATTACAGGTCTCGAAAATCTTGTAAGTCTATAAATGCAGGTCTTCCTTCCTTCCTTCCTTCCTTCCTTCCTTCCTTCCTTCCTTCCTTCCTTCCTTCCTTCCTTCCTTCCTTCCTTCCTTCCTTCCTTCCTTCCTTCCTTCCTTCCTTCCTGTTACGACTTCCCCCCCAGGTGGCAAAGAAAAATGGACAACAGATGGTTGCCTGACGAAAGAGTCCAACGGCAGCATCACATGCCAATGCTCTCATCTTACATTTTTTGCAATCCTCATGGTAGGAGATTTTTATGAATATTCAAATCAATTTTGATATGTAAAAAAAAAGAAAAAAAAAGGTTTATTAAAGATATGTCCCTGTTTGAAACCAGACATCAGGTGAGAACATCAGTCCCTCTCATTTGGAAGCACTCACCCAAATCACAAAAGCCGGCTGTGGCATGTCCATATTTTTCCTGAGTGTGGCTATCTTCATGCATTTTCTCATACGGTAAAAGTATTAAAAAATAGCGTTTGATTTGAATGATTCTATTTCTCCAATGTTTTGTTAACATTGATAAATTCCCCTTGCAGGAAGACTAAAGCCACCCAAGCTGTACAGATCCTGATGAATCTCTTCATTGCCTTGTTCTTCCTGAACTTATGCTTTTTATTAAATGAGACCATTGCTAACCTGGAGAACTTTGCAGCATGTGTGGTGATGGCAGCGTTTATGCACTATAGCATGCTTGCCACATTCACTTGGTTCTTCATGCAGGCTTTGCACCTGTACTTCAATCTGCACAAAATTCCAACAGATGTCAAATATTACATATGCAAGATTTGCTGCACTGGATGGGGTAAGAGATCACTTTAAAAAAAAAAAACAATTAGTGTGCCTGCAGATGATTAAATCCCTAAAAACAAATGTTGTTCAGTTCTTCCAGCTGTTATGGTGCTTGGACTTGTTGCCTCAAACAAATATGATCACGTAACGATTTCTGGCAATAACGACACCTCAGTAAACATGTAAGAACCTTTAAGCAATATTTTGAATTCTAAATACGATTGTTGTGCTATAAAATAAATGCATTTCTTTCATGATTTTCAGGTGCTGGATCCCTGATTCTACCATTCACTTAGGTGTAAACATTGGTTACTATAGCATTGTGTTCATCTTCACTTTAACCATATTTATAGTAACCATAGTGCATATCAAACACTATGCATCTAAAGAGAAAAAAACCCAGGAGTCCTCCAAGACAAGGATTTTCTCTCTTCTGGGTTTATTCTGCCTTTTGGGAATTACATGGGGGTTTGCATTTTTTAGCTACGGTCCTATGCTCCTTCCCTCCTACTACATCTTCACCATCCTTAACTCTTTTCAAGGTAAGCCTATACATAACAATAAACATCTTCAGCCCTGAATCAGAATAACATCAGAATAACAAAAAGAAACAATCAATCCATTTTCTGCATGTAGGATTCTTCCTGTTTGTTTACTACTACTTCTCCAGCAAGATCATTCCAGAGGACCAAAAGCAATCTCAGAGCAGCAGCCAATCCTCACAGACTGTGTACACATCACCTTACGGATAAGTTGCTTATCCTTCCTCCCAGCCTCATATAACCTAAGTTAATTTACTATATGCTTAATAATTTAAGTGAACTGATACAATTTAGAAAATAAAAAGGATCTAATGATATACCTAATTTACTTACATAAAACTTTTTTGCTGGTTCACCTTTATCACAGAGACAATGATGCCATGCAAGAACTGTTCATAAAAACAAATTTGTTCTTAAATTGTTTTAAGGGAAAATTATGCAGTCACTATTTTTCTCCTATTTATAATCTACTCTCAGGTACAAAGACTTAATGTAGGAGACTTGCACCATCAGTCAGTGGTTATCCAAACCTAGATTCCCCTAAATGACTATATGTTACTTAGAAGAAATTGTCCATTGTATTAGGCTACATCATTATGTATGATGCAACTGTTAGGATAATTATCACTGAAGATTTGTGTTTATTACACCTTGGTATTTGCTGTCTGTTGCATGTCAGAACTGATGTTTTTTCCCACAATATTTAATCTAATTAGGACAGTTCCTCTGTCTGGATATACAGTTATCTTTATTCTGTACGTGGCAAAGATTTGAGAGCGGTGTCCTTCAGCTAAGAACAAAGTGTAAAATTTTGATAAGGCTGGAGCCATGGATGTCTAATCATCTGCTAATGTGTATGATGTAAATATGGTGTGGCAGACTGGAGATGTATAAAATGCCTTTTTAACTATTAATCGGGGCCACTTCCTGAGAGGTGAGCCCGGAGATGAGCAGCCGCCTTCTGTCCATTCTAAGCAATTTCTCTGATCTGAGTAAGATTACAATTTCTATCAGAACCTGTTGCAATGTTTCCTAGTTATTTAATACATATAAGTTATGAAGAGTTATTTAAGAGTTTGTCCCGAGTGATCTCTTTTCATGGAAAAGAACCAGAAAGATAGATGATCACGGTGCATACAATTTTAAATTACATTTTAAATTACACATCGCTATGCTCTAGTCAGACCTAGAGCTGATGAAAGGGAAAGTGAAAGATATGGAAAGATATGGAATGGAAAGTCTACAGTATTGTCAGCACACTCAAGAAGGAATCAAAAAGTCTACAAGAGAAATGCATCGATATAGAAGGAAGAAGGAGATGATCAAATATTTGTACACCTTATATATACTGGTCAAATCAGGAAGCTACTAAATGCACAACAACTTCTGTTACAAAGCTATTGAAGGAGGCTCTAGATATGGATATAGACATACCTATTGACAGATCGCACCAAACCTGGCAAATCCAATAAGCCAAGGGGTAACATTGTCCGAGTTTTGAAAAGCTCCACAACTACCAGGACTATGAGGAAATATTTTGCTGTGCAAGGTATACAGGTGGTGCTCTCAACTATGACCAAGCATCCATCACCATCTTTTCCAACTACCCTCCCAGCGTGGCTTGGGCAAGATCTTTCAGTTAAATTAAACACTTACTGAGCAGACCAGCTAGACTTTGCTATGAAGTCACTCACCCAGCAAAATCTTGGATGTCAAGACTGAATGGGTTTTCCCAGATCCATATCCATAATGTCAATATAAAAGTAATCAAAGCACTACTCCTGAGGACTGAGTGGTTTAGGTTTTCCTCCTAATTAATACAAAGAGGTCATTAGATTTAATTTAGACTAATAGGGTCATTAGGGACAAACAAAAACCCAAGATTAAATTTGTCTATTTTGATTCTTCCATCCAGTCCTGCTTAAACCATTAGGGTTATAATGATATCAGTGTCTATCTCTGGGTTTCTAATGGCAAGAGACAGGTTACACCCTGGACCCTTGAAAGCGATACTTGAATACTTGTTTGCTTTGGTATTCCCAAATTTACACTTTTGCCCGGTATCTTACACCTCGTAGCTTCATGTTATTACATCTAAGGGGTTTTTTAGTTGCTCCCGACAGAATCACTATTAGATGCAGTTTTAACAATAAAACCGTGGTCATAACAGATAATTGGAAATAGTCATTTCTTTGCTTAGTTGATTTAAAACCTCTAAATATTTTAAAAACGAAATGGGTGAGAGACTTTAATGTGACTTCAGATGACAGAGGAGCTGTGGTATACTGCTCTTGACAGCATATATTAATTTTCCATTTGTGAAAGACTGAGTTATTCATTTTAAATAAGTCTGCTGTTTACATTTGTCTAATGTTAAATCTGCTTAAATACAGCTTAATGTTGGTGATCTTTGTGACCACTTTTGCACAGAATCAGGTTAAATATATACTCTGTTACATATATGAAGATGTCAAATGTTGAGTAAGTTTTGGAGATCAATTTATACCTTTTTATTTGTTTTTAAAACCAATTAAGCCATTTTGTGTAACTATTATCTTTTGGGTTTGCCTCCCCTAAAGTGGAATTCCATCTTCTGGCAAAATCATGTTTTATTTGCTGATACTATGTAATAATGACAATTGTGTAGTTTTTGTATTTTCAATCTGTTTTCTTTTTGGTCTGTTATATGCAATAAAGTAAAATAAAATAACTGAAAAAAGATTCAGTTGTCTGAAAAGTATAGTATTTTTTATGCCTGCTGACCTGATCTGCATGTGTCATGATTTAACTAAAGATCTGACCCAAATGCAGAAGACCAAACAGAGAGACCAGGGAAAAGTTATTCTAACAGGTTTATTAGAATAATGAGAAGAGTCCAGTGCTGCTCTGAACACTGTCGAACCGGAACTGGAAAGTTAGGGAAAGCATTGCAGTTAGTTCAGGCTCAGTGGGAAATTAGAATCTTGAAGACTTTAAGAAGAGGAATAGGTTGCAGACTCACATTTCCAGAAAAAGGTGTCCTTCATTGAATCCAGTCTGTGTGGGATGTTCCAGTGATTGTCTTGTTGATGGAGGGTGGACAGGTTTTACCCAGATTGCGGTTGTTCCTTGGTGAACGGAGAAGCTGACTGCCACTTAGATTTCCTGCGGTACTTGAACGGGTTATTGTGGAGATGAATCCTCTGCTCAGAGAGAAGCCCCAGACGATCCTTGGGGTAAAAGGTTGATCCAAACCACAAACTTGAACCCTCAGCTCAGTTTGGTTCTCAGAAGATCCTTCCTGGGGAGTGAAGGTCCCAAACATCCAGTTTGCAGGATGACTTCCTGCCGAGAGGCAAAGACAAAAACAGTAATATTTAAACTCAGGTAAACAAAAAGCTCCATTTGACTTAGCCAAACTCAGCTTGGCTAGAGTACCCAAAGTGGCAAAACAAAACTCAGGTTAGACTCTGTTAAACTAAGCATGGCTAGAGTACCCCAAACTGGTAAACACTCTAGCGTCAAGGTAGTGGCAGTCAGCAGCTTAAGAACACTCCACAGGTAATGAGGCAACGAGCTGCAGGTGTGCAGGTAGGCCCAATGAGGACGGCGCACCACCTGGTGGAGGAAAAAAGGAAACACAAAAACAGACCACACAAACTGGATTCCTGACAGCATGAACTACTGGATCAGTTTGGTTTGACATGGAGGGTAGGTTTGTTTTATTTGATTTTTTTTTTTTTTTTTGCTTTAATTAATACTTTAATTATTCTTTAATGCCCAATCAGTGTAGGAGCATAATTATTAAGGTGTATCACTATGAGATTCTTCAAAAGACAGTCCTTTGAATGCTAGCCAAACCAAGAAATTTAGGATGGATTTGTTTTAAGGGTTTGTGTGCGGTAAGCAAATGTAACTTAAAGGGCTCATCTTTGCATTTCAGTTGTCACATTTAAAATATTTTTAAAATCCCAGGCAAAGGTAGTTGGGATGTATTATGCTGTGCTACCCTCTGACAGATTTCTTGTCTTTTTGATAATTTTCCCACATTTAAATGTCTCAAATCATGAATTAACTAATCAGACAATGACAACCATAGTACACACATGGGTTTTTTTACATGGCTATCATCATGGGACCCATTAAAACAAATGGTACAAAAAAAAAAAAACACTGAAATTATCTAGTATTCGCTGGCCTACAACAAATTTGTGATACTATATGACTATTTTGCTTCTTCAAGACATGGACCATTGGCTTAAAGGGAACCATTGATTATGCTATTTTACCAGAAAACCCTGTAGGAGGATGTCTGGCCCTTAGCTTATAGCCTTCAATTTGAGTGCACATGGGTTATGCAGCATGAGATTAACATAAAGCTTATTAGCAAATTCACATTTAAAAGATCCTGAAAAGAAAAACAAAATGAAAATGTTGTCATCATCCTAAAGTCCACACTTAAATCCACTGAGGTTCTGTCTTTAGTAATGCATGATTTTGCATTTCTAAATCTAAAAAGTTTAAAATGGACAACTGTCACTATGTTCAGTTAGAAATAGTTTTTTCCCTCAGAAACAGGATAGAAAAAGGTTTGGCACATATGTTTTTACTTGATTTGAATTAAACAACTTTTAAAGAAGTACAGAATATTGTTCTTAGAACTTATTACAGCTTGGGTGTACTTTGTTCATTTCTGCTGTAATTGCAAGTTAATATATTTACATCACATGCAGTCTGTCAAACTAAAGGGTGATATTTAAAACTGTTTTTTTTTTTTTAAAGAAAATGAAAATTTTAGAAATGTTCTTTTTTACTTAATGTAAAAAGGTTCTGCTGAGCATCAGAGTGCTCACACTGCAGCAGGAGGTGATCCATCAGTTAGTTTGTGCCACAAGCTTTGTCCACATATTTGAATCTTCATTATTTATAAAATATAAAAGTTATATGACTATGCATTATATATAAATTATAAAATTTTATTTGCTTTCAAAAACTACTCTGATTCATGGAAAAGATGTGCGTCTTCTTTAATGCACCCTTTTATTTTGCAAGATGGGTGAGATGTTTTGGACACCAGAGGGCAGGATTTCACTGCCTGAAGAGTTTTCTCTCCTTTTGTAATCATGCCACATTTAAAGTCTTTGGTCCTGAGCTGCTCCTAAACTGAAATCTGATTTATCTTTACTCAGATGAGGAGATGGAGCACTCTTCTGCAAGTCATTAGTGTGGATGACTCCATGTTTCAATGAAAGCCCTGCCTTACTTTCTAAATGAAACCCCAAATCTTCAGTGGAATGCAAAGTGAGAATGATTAGTAAGATAAATATGACCCCTTCACAACTGGTGAGGTTGTCGAAAGAGAGGTGGATGGTAAAACATGCGGTAGGGGGGGGAAAAAAGCTGGAGGGGTATGCACACTGTCAGGGCCAACCTCAAATCGGTTAGTCTGTTGCGTGCCTGCAGATAATTACCCTGAGCCAACAGAGCAGCTTCTACTGGCTGACAAGGAATGACCTCATCTCTACCTGCAGGAATAATTTCCCTGAGAGGATGTTATCCACTGGAATCCATCTTTAAATATTGTCTATACATAATATACTATTATTTTATTGCAGAACAAAAACATTGCATAAGGGAAAAAAAACATATCCCTTACGCTTTAATTTGTTGTAGATGCAACAATATCAAGTGATATGACCTTT